AGTTTTTCATGAGTGGATGTTACGACAGAGCCAGTACTGAAGTAGAAATAATGTGGACAAATCAACACGGGACCGGCCAAGCGGCGGATCACTTAGTAAATTCACAAGTCATCTTACAATACATGTGTCAGCCCTTCCCTGATGGAGAAAAGCCTTTATTTGACATCAACTCACAGTTTAAATTCGACACTCTTCGAAATGGCCAGACGAGCCAAGTACCACCGTTTACTCCCTCGCATCAAGAGAGTTCTAAAGCCGCAAAAACCTACGGAATACATGAACCGTACAATTTCTACCAGTCCTATAACCGCCGTGAGCGAAACAAAGGTATATAAATCGTTTGTACAATTATACACCCTGAAAATGACTAGTCAGACTGTTTTCTTATTGTCTTAGGCATAACTTGTATGTAAAGTCTCCTGGACTTGAATTCCTAAGAGCCTGATACGAGAAAGAAAGTCTCGTCCTTGGCTTGTTAATTTTCTCCAGTAAAACGAGAAATTAGGCATTTTCAAGTCGTTTTCGTGCAAAGAAATTTAATAAAAGTGTTTTTGATCTTTTTCTTTGGCTATTAACCCTTTAAGCCCTAATATCTACATACAAATTCTCCAAACTGATCTTTATACATTTTCTTAAAGAATAAATTGAGAGAATTTGACGAAAGATCAAAGCATTTTCTCTTAAGCGATCAATTTATTAATTCTCATAACCAAATCTCTTGACAATCAATGGATATGGTTAGGAGAAAATTGATGTTGGACAGCATTGTAAATCATCATTCTATCATTTGAGAAATATTGCTAAAATCCGCAAGTACTTAAGCCAAGATACATGTGAAATCTTAGTCCATGCATTTATTAGTTCGACACTTGATCACTGTAATTCCTTATTACATGGCCTTCCTAAGTATCTGTTAGCTAGACTACAGGCAGTTCTGAATGCTGCAGCTCGTGTTGTCACACTGACACCGAAGCATGTTCATATAACTCCTATTTTAATTAATCTTCATTGGTTACCAGTTGAGTTTAGAATAACTTTTAAAGTCCTTTTATTGGTATACAAGGCCCTTCATGGCCTTGCACCTTCTTATATTTCTGACCTTTTGAATTTTAAAACATACTCTAGGTCATTGCGTTCTTCATGTAAAGAATATTTAGTGGTTCCAAGAAGCAGATTGAAAACATATGGAGACAGAGCTTTCTCTATTGCAGGACCTAAATTGTGGAACGATTTACCTCTAGAGATTAGGAAATGTGCTTCAGTGGCAACTTTTAAGCAATCCCTTAAAACTTTTTAATTTAAATTAGCATATAGGTTATGAGATTCCTTTTGTTTTAAGATGTTTTTGATTTATATAGTAGATAACTTAGGCTATATTTGAATTATATTGTATATTGTAGATATTTTTTAATTTAGATTTTTTATATTCTATTTTGTAATTAGGTAGCGCTTTGGACAATTATTGGATTTTAGCGCTATATAAATAAAATTATTATTGTTATTTATTATTATTGGGACTTAAAGGGTTAAGGCTATATGTTCACACTATACAAGATAGCTTTTACTCACGGATAGGCCCCCAAAATCATCATTTTTGTGATCAATTATCTCACTGTTTTAGTTATACCACAGTTTCGGTGGTTCGTGGGTACGAGCCGCAAGTCCGCTTCAGTGAACAAGCGAACACATCTAAGTATGGTATCGGCGTCCGTCCTCCTATTAGCCATGTTTTGTTGTAAATATATAAACCTGAAGTTTTGAAAACCGGGTTAGCAAAAAAATCAACTCATTCTACTACTTGGCAATTAAAAACTATGAAAATCGTTCAAAGTCCGATTAAAATTTTTTTTATTCATTCGAAATATTCCCGAATTCTGATTGGCTAAAAGGACACGCATATTAAATTCACCATAACCAGTTACTGATGACCAAATTTAGAACAATTTTGTGTTTAACGGGGAAATGACGTGAAAAATGCAGCGTTCTTACAGGTTAAGGCACCGTGGGAGCGAGGTTGAGTTGTTTTGGTTGTGAAAATAAAAATGGTGGACAGTTCACTCGTTTCAAGAGTGAGAACTACAGCTGGAACTAGGCGAAATAATAGCCAAAAACATAGCAAAAACAGCAAGAAGACAACTCGGAGGGCGACATATGCTATTTGGAGAAAATTTGCGGAGCTGGACAAACCTAAACGTACACTATCGAAGATGAACTTAACAACGATGCAGGTAAGCATGTTTTAGCTATGTTTTTAAACTAAGAATTAGTTTGAATGAATAATAAAGCAATTAATGAATTCGGCTTTCGTAGGATATGAAGAAATAAGCAGATCGTGGAGGGTGTTATCCACCTCGGCCTTACACCCTCCTCGATCTGCTTAATTCTTCATATCCTACGAAAGCCGAATTCATTAATTGCTAATTACCTGACGCCTGGCAGTAAGTTAGTGGTGCCTAGAAGAATTTCGGCGATTCTAAACAAGAAAAAACGTACCTTCCCTTAGGCCTCTATATTTTCATTTCGCTTTTGATCGGGTGCTACGCGGCGGGGCCTGAGAACTGCTAACAAACATCAGAACATCTAAACAGATAACCATCAGATATAGGTAGCCACCTTGTGTGGGCAGAAAGGAAAGGCTTAGTTAGGAAATTATAAACTGTTTGCTTCTTTAGCTTGGTAAGTAAAGGCATTTTTTCTGTTTAACAGGTTTGTTTACCGCTGACCAAAAACTTAAAGAAGATCGGGCAATCTACACGCGGCAAAATAATGACGGACCAAGGTATGGATATGAGGTTCCTGAGGAGCGTGATTACTATCCATACTGGGGCCCCAGCCCTTGGAGGGACATTGCCATCATGGTAAGCGATCAGAAGACCTACGATTTAATGAAGAAACATGTCACCAGTCCCGATTATGGCTACAAATGTGAGTTTATACCAGTCGCTAGTTAGCACGTTAAGTAGCATACAGTAAAATCCGGAGAGTAGGAACCTACCTTTTCCCAAGTTAGCCTAAACATGTTCTTACATGAATGGTAGGTTATTTAGGTTCTTTATAAATTCTTATTTTGTGAAAAAAAAATGCATGCTGGTAGCTATGAACAAGCATTTACAATTAGTGGTATTAAGCTTATTTCATAAAATCTGCCGGCAAACAAACTTCAGTACAGTGAAACCTGTATTAAGCGGACACCCTCGGGGAATGCTGTAGTGTCCGCTTAATACAGGGTGTCCGCCTAATACAGATTTCGATAGATAACGTCATATGAGGTATCAAATGCCAACCAAATGGACAGTGGAAACGTTTAAAATACTCCCAGAGACTATGACGATATACGTTTGCATTAATTTCTTTATTAAAGTGGACCAACTGATCATAGTACAATAAACGTAGATTGCAACTCAAATTTGAAGAGTGAAACAAGCTCTATACAAATAAAACGAAATAGAAAACAATCCTGTAGTGTGAAACTAATCAAATAAGTTCGTCAAGTCACGTTTTATAATGTAAAAATCGAAAACTTTGTGGGTGGCAATCTTTCGCATTTCCTGTGTCTGGCATGTTGGGTGGTGTCCGTTTAATACAGGTTTGCAACAATAGAAATGACCATTTCAGGTACTTTTTAGGTGTCCTCGTCCGCTTAATAGAGGTGTCCGCTTAATAAAGGTTCATTTAAAGTAAATAAGGGAAATAAATTTGGGGACTTCGGCTACTGTCCGCTTAATAGAGGGTGTCCGCTTAATACAGTGTCCCCTTAATACAGGTTTCACTGTACTTAAGTAAAAATGAATAGGAGAAGAAGGACTGAAGCACTGACCACATGAGTTTTTAAGTCCTTTTGCCCAAACGTACAGAATTTCTTTCATAGATTTTAGAAAATGAGAACTGTTTCAAATTTAGGCTAAACAGGTTAGAGGCACTGCCTTACTGAAACAATTTATCCTAACAGGTTCTTAAAACCATGCTTTAAAAAAAGAAAAAGGTTTCGTTGTTTTTGACCAATCTAAATCCGGATTTCGAAATCAACAATTCGATTTATCATTCCATTTATAATCTTAGATTGTAATCTAAACGATCCACCTTCACGCTTGAATCATTCAGACTGGAATCGCTGCATGGTTTTGGATTTTTGTTCCACTGCTTTTCGATCGCAAGAATGTGCTCGTTCGTCAAGTAATTAGTACATATGGCGGGTCAAGGTCAATGCAGGCAAAAGTTATTTATACTTCACCTCTGTCTTATGCCGCTTAAAGATTGTACTATATTAAGCTCAAGATGCACTGTAACTCTAGACCCGCAAAGACGCGAAGACACTTGAAGATTCTCACCGCAAATTTGTCCAATAGCGTATTTCTGCATGTTTAGGACTGACCTCGCACCGTTTTTTAGGCTACGTAGTTGTCTATTGAGCACATGTGTTAGCCCATAATAGTAACGCAGATGACGTAGGGGAATTCGGTCCCAGTGCCCGCGGAAGTAAAAAAAAATAAACAAAAATAACCTCTGGAATTTTGGACCCTACACCTGACCACGCATATGAGATCAGAACGAATTTTTGCATCGTTCATAGACCTTCATATTAGGCCACGTACGGGAAGAATTTCAGATGCGTCATGGTAAAATCGGTAAACAAGCCAGTCTCGCTGGTTTAGTCACGTAAACCTGTTTTTATGGTTTCCCGTATTCTTTTCATAGAAACTGGAAACCCAACAAATCCCAAGCGATTACAATCACTTGACTGCACTTCTTCCAATTAAGTAATGCCGTCCCGTAGGAAATGCACATCTCCTAGAAATAAAGAGAGGAAGCCCTTAGTATCCCCTAAATAATACCTGACACAAAAACTCAAATCTTGAGCCTGACATCCGATGAAAAATTTTCAACTAGTCTCTCAATAACTTTAAACAATACCTCACTATGACAGATAATGCCCTCGATAAAGTAATGTGATATAGGTCAGCGGATTTCACTTTACTTTTATGGCGGAGCTTGGGTATTCTATCCATCCGAGAAATTTTGATTGTGACGTACGGACCCGTCCGCTCGTACAATTCTGGGGGTAGGGGTAAAAAAAACATTAGGGTAAGGAAAGGAATCCCAGACATGTACGTTGCGTTTCGTTTCTGCGCAAAATTAACCATTTTAATTAGGGGCAACCAACGGGGAGTTGTGTGGGTTAAAATCTAGATTGAAATATCTTGTGTTAGGAATAAATTTGGAAGGCTTTAGTTTTTGCTTAGTCACGCTTTGATCACACTCCTATTCCCTCCCGCTTGGTCAAAATTTTGACAGGTGAATTCGTGCGTGAAGTTCTTCCACATCTAGAAATTTGTTTTGGTGACAGTCTTGCCGACAACTAAAGCGGTCTATTCATTTCAGTTAAGGTGGCCCGAACCTATTTATATGCCTGTTGGTTATGTTTTTGAATCGCGTTTTTAAGCCGAAGCTCACAGTGTCAAAAGTGACCATAGAGTCAGCTTGAATGCCAGCGGTTTTTCTTGCTTTCTCTCTAATAACGTAGATTATGCAGCGCATGAAATATTGTAAGCTTTTACTGAGCGCCATGCCATGAATATTGAGTAATTAGTTCCTGTGTTTTATGTGTTTGCAGATGTTTTCTGACAGGATTTGATCACTGATGCAGTTTACCATTAAAATAGTTTTCTTTTATCTCGGTTAAAGCTTTATTATAACCTGAATGACCATTTTATTGCGTCTAAATAGTTCCGTTGGTTTTTTTCCGAAATGCCTGGACCCGGACAACTACATTTATGTATTTTTTTGCCCGTTAATATCATGATTTCTTGATTTGTTTTGACGCAAAAGGTCGGCGAGATTACGGAATACTTGGCAGATCGAGTATCTACAGCGATTGGAAGACGTTAGAAAAGCACTCGGCAAATTTACAATCGTTTTCTGGACTTGAAGGAATTTTCTCAAATCTTTTTTTCTTTGTTCAAGATGAAGGCTTTGAAGTTCGATCTGCTCTTTCATTGTTTACTGTAAACGCTGTGTGCTACCTTCCTTCTGTTGACATTTCTAATCTGCCCCAACCGTCATGGGCACGTGATCATGAGAATTGGACCCTCAGAATCCCGCCTGTCAGAAACGCTCATGTATATCGTTGTGACTCTGCTGAATACCAGAACGAGCTTGTGTGCACTAATTCGCAGACGGACTATACTTATGCTTTAGATAATGCGTGGGCCGGCTCCAAGTCGCAGGCTAACACAACAAGGGGATCGTCGTTTATAACTAGTAATAGTTCATGATAGTTGACACTATACAGCTTCCCCGCTCTGTATATTGTCTGTCAATAGTATTCTTTGTCATTGTGTAGCTTTTTGAAATATGCCGATTCAAGATTTTCACACATATTCGATACAATAGGTGAGATCAGAATACAGGAAACGCATGGTTCTAAGCACAGTTTCAGTTCGATTTACAGCTATTTACATAGCTTTGATCAAAACATTCTCACTTTCGAGAACAGTTTATTCTAAACCATAAGAAAATATTTAATTAGAAGTTGCATTTTTCGCTATTTCTCTTTCACTTTTTACATTCAGTTCATTTTATTTGCCGGAAGTAAGTCCTAGAGAAAGCCCTAAATCAATTCACGCTCGCGCATTCTAGTCTTGTTTTAAACTTTATAGGGGAAGGACATCTGTGCGCAGGGAATAAGTCAGCACAGAATTTGATTGTCGACGAATTTCTGTAATCGTCTATCGTTCTGCTAGTGATAAGCTAGCCGTTGTTCACTCGTCTTGCTTGTTTGGGGCTGAGTCTTATTCCGGTCAAAGAGAGAGAAAGAGTGTCTGGCAAAGTTTCCAATCAAAGATTTGTGAACTCGTGTCTGACAAACTATCCAAGTGTTTATATATACACAGTTATACTAACCTTATGACTTCACCTGCGCTTAACGAGTGTCTTTTAATCCATAACTTTCGAAACAACTGCTCCACGGAATGTCACTGATAACACATAACGCAAAAGAGTATCGAAGTATGACTGCACAATTATGTCACAAAATCTACCTAAGCGGTCCGTTCGGGATTTTCTGTCTTTACTTCATCCTAACCATTTCGTACTTGCTTGCGCAAACAATAGAAACGTCATCATTACCTACCGATTCCTCGCGGCCCCTGTTCAAGCAAATCGAGATTTTATTCTGGCATACTGACTGTATATTTCAACTGTAAGTACTTTCCTTAATATACGCGCGAGTTGGTGGAGTGCCTCCTCGGGATTTCGCCTTCTGGGCGACATCGCTGCGGGGGCAGTAATGATAATGATAACAAAGATGATGATGATGATGATGATGATGATGATGATAATGAAATTGCATCTCACAGATTTCTGCATCATGCCAACCAGACTACCAGGACATGACGATTGTCCAAAAAAGAATGATGGCCAACTAGGAGAAAAGTGTGTCGCTAAATACCTCACTGAGAAGGATTGTAAGAGTCAAGGCGGAAAGTGGACAAGGTTCATCACCAACGTTATTGAGAAAACCGCTGGGGTCCTGAGCACTTGTCATCAAATCGGAGATATGCAGTTAAAGAAAGGCGTTCCGTATGAGCCATACAAGGTTTCACAAGGAGCAGATGAACTAGAACAGTATGTTCTTATTCAGAAACCGCCTGATGTTGTGTACGCACCTCCTACTTACGTCAACCACAATGGAGTAACCACGGAGGGGAAGTTTTCATCATACAAGTGGAAAGTTCCGTGCTTTCCTTCCAACGTGACTCAGCGCTGCGTGTTGCGTATAAGGTAAGATAACAGAGACCGTTAGCATCAGTTTTTCATGGGAAACCGCAAACCTAAGAATGTCATGTGTCCACGGTCTTGCGGTCGCGTTTGCCTTTTGCAGTTCAGGTTTGATTGGCAAGAAAGGGCTTCCAGCGGTAAGTGACTTACAGCAAGGTTTTTTTGCCACTAAAAACTGTCTTCAGCCTCACGTTTACAGGCACGAAGTAGCTTTCTATATCAACCTGTGATGTGCTAGTTAGATTTTTGATCTCGAAGCTACAGTGAATTATTCATGTTTATTGGGCGAAAAAAGTGATACACCTAGTTCGATTTCGACGAAAAACAACATGGTGCCACTAAATAATGAACGCCTTCCTAAAATTTGAAATCCCGGCAACGTAATACTGCAAGTGCGTAACTGCAAACTGCACTTGCGGTTTCCCATGAAAAAACCTGATGCTAAATATCTCTACGCTGTATTAGAGAGATAAAGCATCGCGTATTTTTCCGGCGAATGGCGAGGAGGGCGACGTGACCTTTTTTTTTTTGCGCGCCTGTCATTTGCCGGCCGCCGTTTCAACGCGAGGATGACATTTTCCCGTGAGTATTTGCATCCCATTTGTACCGACTATTTCTTCATTTTGATCTCTTGTTTATATATATAGCCATTCTTCGTTTGTCATCCTTCTTCCACATGTTCTATCTGTAAAACTGACAGAGCTTCAAATCCCAGCGGAAAAGAGACAGCGAATGGCGAGCCTTGTTTTTACGTTTCGTACTAATTTATTCAGTTTGCACGAAAATTTTGGAATCGTGGAAACGTTATCTTAGTACCTAGTTAAGTTACAAATATTTTAGAAGAAGAGCTCGCCCTCCTCCAGAAATTTCGAAAAATAAGAAGCTTGCCAGAAAGTTGAAAAACGACCCCTAGAGGAACCTGGGTCTCGTTGTTCTGGCTTCATTTTAACTCCATGAAAGAGATACCAAAAATAAGCTGGATAACAAATAGCTCTCGTTATTTGTACTTTTACCAGTCATGATTCAAACTTCATTTCTAGGCGGGGGGGAGGGGCACGTAACAAGAAGAACAGGAAGTGTGTAAGTATGTTCATGGGACAGGTAGTGCTGGGGACATGTCTGAATAGGGACATTAGGTGTGGACATGTGGTTCCTGGAATCCGGAATCCATGGCGTGGGATCAAGGATCCAAGACTGTCTTAGATTTCCTCACATAAGCGACTGAGATGGATCTACGATTATTCGAGGTTTTTGTCAGTGTGAGAGAGACACCTTTATTTAATTATAAGGTTAAAGGTGGCCCGTGCAGGTGCTTAAAGACAACCATCTATGTAACCTGATTGCTTATCTATACTGAGCATTGTTTTCATAAAATGTGCGTTCATTCGAAGAAAAAGACAATATTCATTTCTTGTCGTAGATATAACATCACCACTGACGATGTTCCACGCGAATTCGATGCTAAAGATAATTCAAAGTAAGTTCAAATAAAATCAGAGTTTGTATTATATCGTTGTTTGAAGACGTTTGTATTAATTATGCAAATTTCTGTGAAAAAGCTAACCTCTTTGATTACGATTAAGATTATGCTTATGAAATATAATAATGATTAGGACAAAGATCAGAGAGAATGCAACCTCTGCTAACCGTGCATTTATAAAAAGAGGCTGGATATCTATTGTTCATTGGCGGATCATCTGATGCCCACCCCTTCCATATGGTCATGTAGCAGCTGCTCGGAAGAGAAGTCACCAATGGTGTGTTTCCCTGACCCCAAGCAATACTAAAACAATTGGAGGAATGACATGTCATTTTTTCCCGCGGTCAATAAGGAGATATCTTCCGAGCAGCTCCTATACTATCCCTTCCATAGCGAACAATCTACTCTGGGCTAGCTTGTATTTTTAATCTCAATCCTATGTTGTATGTTGCAGAGTGAAGGGTAACCCGAAAACTAAAGCTGTTGACAGACATACAGATCTTCAGCTCGCATTGAACACCGCACAGCTTGGACGAACATTTCAAGACAGAAGTCACGTGCTCCTGCTCAAACCGAGGACCTTTCTTGCAGAAAAATATCAGCATTCCACCATAAAATATATCTTTGGTATGGGAAAGCGAGGGAACATTGTACAAACTTATCCCGCCATGGAATATCGCTTCTTTCCTGAAATCCTTGAAGTTACAACAGATGATCTCGTGTGTTTTGTCTGGTCTGGTAAGAAACAAAGTTCTTAGTCGACAGTAATACATTTTTATTTGGAAATCGTCAGAAAACCGAATCTACTGATCTTTGAGGATTCCTTAGTAGTAATAGACTGAGGTGGTAGTGGTGAGTGGTAAGTGGTGAGTGGTAGTGGCATTGGTGGAAGAAGTGGTAGTAGTAGTAGTAGTAGTAGTAGTAGTAGTAGTATTTATTTGTACGACAGTAATATTTTACAGTATTACTAAAGCTAATGTTTATTTCTAAAATTAAGTACAAAGCGAAGCAAATAGTACTCTAATTCAATACATTAATCAGAATATTAAGTTACTCTTTCACCTGACAAGAGTAGTGTGTCGCTTACAGGGGCGTAGCCAGCTTTTTGACTAGATGAGGCCCAGCTGACTTTAGCCTGAGAAAACAGCCGACATTTCCCGACGCCACCACTTGTTTCCCCGTGAAGTGACGTCCGAGAAACGAGCGTAGAAATTCCATACTGATGACGCCTCACTACCCAGCTCAGGGTAGTGTTTCTTACTAGTTGAAACAAATTTCCCACACGGAACGACCAATCAGAGGCACTATCCAGATCAGGATAGCGCCGCGTCAATCAGGAAGAAATTTGTGCCCTCGTTTCTCAGACGTCATTTCGCAGGGAAACCGTTAATGGCGTCAGGAAATGTCAGCTGTTTTCTCAGGCTAGGCTGACTTTCACCTCTACCTATCCTGAAAATTGCACGCATGACTAGTACCCACTGACCTCACCAACTCTTTGAGCTCTTTTAGCTTTTAGCTCACTCCAACAATGCATTAAAGTGTAGGGTGCCCAGTTCCTATTTTTCTCTTTTTTTCCCTTGTCTTAGCCTTTTCCTATTTTCCCCTATTTTTAAACTAAAACCCCCTATTTTTCCTATTTTTTAGCTGGTGAAGCCAAAATTTGTAACAAAGTTGAGAATGGAATTATAGTTGTACGTGTTTTAGAGAGAGATTTATCATAAAGCAAGTAGTATGATGTTGAATTTGATATTCTAATATTTAGCAAAAATAATAGTTACATTTGTTCTTTTTATGACCTCTATTGCCTGTTAGAGTTGTGTCAATTCTTCTAACACTGCGGAAAACCTGGTTCCGTACTTACAACTATGCGTTCTTTTGGCCCAAACAAGCATATTGTCAACCAGCTATCAACCGCAGATTAATAGAAGGAAAGCTTTCCATGGGACGTTTTAGACCTAGTTCGATAGCCTTTAATGACAACGCAATCGTAAGAAATTTCTATCCTAAGAATTTTCACTCTTCGAAGCTTTTCAAAGATTTGCCGCCAACTTGAAGGAAATTTGCATATGATCACCTTTGGTTATAGAACCAGGCTCGACCTGTAGTCCAGCATATCACTCTGATTACAGTGTAACTAAGCCAATAAATTAAACGTTACTGATCATTTTCAATCCTTCTAAGTCGCGAAAGTTGATCTAAATCCTCCCAACGTAGAAGCCGAGGACTCGTAGCCTTTATTACAACCGCGATGGGGTGAAGGGAGGCTATCTTTGCGACGCGGAAAGTACTATTGATTTTCTTATTTTCTCCTTTTTTAATACAAAGTTTCCTATTTTAATTTTCCTATATTCTCAATCCTGAGCAACCATGCCGCTGAACATCCTGAGAGTGATTAAACCAAAAATTTGTAAGCCCGGGCCTACTGGCGTATGGGCTGACTACCCCGGCTTTGGCGTACATTAGTTCAGATATGAACAGATGAATTTCAGAACCAATACAATTATTAGATTCGGTTTTTGTGAGATCCTAAATATTCAAGTTCTCGGTAAGGGTTATCAGCCTCGGCCTTCGGCTCGGCTGATAACACTTACCACGACCTTGATTATTCCGAATATCACAAAAACCCCATCCAATAATTGTTTATAATCTATTTTCTGTGGGCACATGATCGACCTGATATATAGACCTACAATAGTTCAATCATAACCGCCATTACATATTTTAAATTTCACGAAATTTCGTCTTTCATTAAAATGTCTTAACTGATATAGACTGGATTTACATGTAGAATATTCTTCCTTAAAAACTTTGTTCAATTCTAATTTCTGAGAATGTCCAAGACTGTGTCTTCAGAAAGATATATATATTTCTCTTTCATATATCGTCTTATATTAGCATTATCTAAAGAACGAGGATCTAGAGCGGATGGATTGTATGGTTCTAGTGATGAAATTGAAATAGATAGAACCCGAAATTATTAACAGAGGCAGTTGTTTCGACAGAAGGAAAGACTGTTTGACTAGAATCATTATCTTTGTTGTTTGGATAAATGAAATATTTTATTGCATGATGCGAAGTTTCTGATAAATTGGGATAATCAGTGGTAGTCTTCCAAGTTCGGCAATGCAAGCGAATCTAGAGGCCTAACTGTTCACTTCACTGAAGTAGCGTTCACTACCAGTGCATATTTTGCAATAAGAATGAAGCGTGTTTAAACAGTTTTGCAATTCTGTTTTCGATCTTGATCAAATCATCTGCATTGCATGTCTGCATAAATAGTGAATTTATTTTTGTTCCATTTGGATAAACGAATGGATGAGAAAGTGTGTTTTCGAATAAATGAGCTAAATACACACTGTATAATGAAATTAAAATGTAATGGCCCATAAATTCGTGATTAGATCGTAGTTGATACTCCAAGTAATGCGTAGTTTTTTTTAGCCATTTTAGGCAATATCGTGTTTAAAACAGACGAGCAGACAGTTTGGTAAAAAAATTGCTTTATTTGCCTCACCGTAACACTGCGCATTAGTGGAAAATTATGATTTCTAGGGTCTACTCCATTATCCCTATTACGGAATAAAGTAAAGGTCAATCGAACAGACCTTTGATAAACGTACTTTCTGTTTTCAGGATCTAACCATAATCCCTCCAACTATGCTGGCCAAGGGGAAGCTCGTAAGTTATTTTTATTGTTGTTGTTTTCAATGTTAGTAGTATCAGTACTTGTTGGACTGCCTCTCTCCGATGTGGTTGCTTACCGCTACGCTAAGATCAAAAGAATGATGCAATCAGCATCAGAACGTTACACGGAAACGGGGCTGCCAAAACACTTAATTTTCCAGAAACCTATACTGATCCAAGAGTTTCTTGTTTATTGCCATCTCCTACCATATCCTATCATACAATATACTTCATCGTGACCAATCAGGTCAATAACCATATTTTATTATTCATTCAAAATATTTTCCCGTTTCTGATTGGTTAAAACCAAACGCATAATTCACCATAACCAGCTGCTGAATTGTCATATTGAACCGATGACGTCAAAATGACGTCAAAAGTGTTATATTGAACGGTTGACAAAGAAAACATGGGGACGAGATTGAATTGTTTTGGTTCTTTGAACAAATGGAGGAACTGTCGGGCGGAACATTGTGCTATCGCAAGAACAGCAAGAAGTCAACTCGACGGACATCTGCTATCTGGAGTATATTTACAGACCTGAGCAGACCTTTATCTGCTAAATTTCCCGATATAAATGCACTACCGACATGAACTTAACATCCAACGAGGTAAGCATGTTTTAGGTTGTTTTAAGTTGGCGTTATTTCGAACACAGACGTGCAGTCGACAGAACTAACATTAAATCTAAACCCACCGCTGTTTCTGAACACTTTCTCTCTCTCTCTAACCATTCTTATACTGAGATGCAGTTAATCCCACTAGAGAAAATTCATTCTTCACGTGACTCAGTTCGTAAGGCCAGGGAGTCGCATTTGATAGATAAAGCCATGACTCTGGAACCTCATGGCCTAAACCGCCGTGACGAATTATTGTAATCCATATCCTTAGTATTTGTTCCTTTCCAGTTTTTATTTTGTATGTCATTTCCACGTCCCCCTTTTAAACAATTTCTATTGCGACATTCTCCGTCAATATAATATTGTCATTCCTACATAAGTTTAGTAACAGCTGTAACCTGAAGAAGGCTGGTATGGCCAGCCGAAATATTGTTATAAAAAACAATACACGTTGCTTTAAATCAGCTTTGCAATAGTCTTTGGACTTCTCGTTCTTGGTTCTTTATATTTTGGCTGATTAGATCTCTTTTCTGAAGATCCAGCGTTTACAACTAGCAGGATCTTCGTCCACGGTTTTTGTAGTTAATTTAATCCTTTCTTTCGATAAGCGCTCCTCCTTTCACCCGAAATTTGAAATAAGCTCCCGGGCACTTATTCAATGAAAATAAGGTATATATTTACTTCTATTCTGGCAACTGTTATCATTCCTGTCGCTGGCATTGTCTAACATCGTATCAGAGGTGTCGATTTAGAAACCACCCGGGCCACTGAGACGAACCGACACTGTGATAGACTAAAGGTGATGTTACACGAGATCTACAATTCCCGACGATGATTTTGAGCACAAAACAACGTCGCACCATTGTTGCGACATTGTTTCGAATTGGTACAACATTGTTCCAGCATCGCAACGCTGTGTTGCGCTAATAATCGTCTTTGCGAATCGTCCCGTGTTACATCATCTTAAGAGAACATGGTTTTGATGCGCACGATCGTCTTCATTTAAATTTCAGAAACTGATCGTACCAACGTGTGCTGGGTAAAGGAAGGATGCAGTTCTCTCCAACCCAGATCTTGTTCTAGTTTCCCTTTTGAAGTGGTAGAACACCTGGATAAATTTGACTCAGATAGTTTAAACCTATACCTCAACAAAGGATGTTTCATCGGTAACAACCTAGATGACGAGCTTAATAATGCACCGGCCTCGTGCAATCCCCCGTGTTTCCGAATGAAGGTACCTGGAGAGTACTGTTACATGAGCACGCGCAATAACAACTTCTCCAATCGACGCCACGTGGGAAAAATCATTGCCAAAGCTGGCAAAAAAATCCCAGCCGAAGAGTTTGGAGGCGAGTCACATCCGGGATTTTCCTGTAAAGATATCCAGCTCCACTCTAAGATGAAAAAAAAAGGAAATGGAGTCTACTGGATCAGACTGAGAAGGAAAGGTGGTAAGTACGTGGTGTAACCATCATATAGAGGTAAAGCTATTTCACTAGCAATTTATGCAATTTAAATTCAAAAGAGAAATTTAATGGGACGGGAAAAAAGACAAGGTGAATCAAAGGTAACCAAAAGTCGCAAATGTTGCCACTTGTAATGGAATCCGGATTACGCAAACCGTAAACTTTTTGCCTGCGGAATCCGGAAAACAGCTCAAGATGTCCTGAATCCCACTAACAATTGGAATGAAGTACCTGGAATCCGGAATGCACGGCGTAGAATCTATAATCCAAGACTTTATCGGATTCTCTTATTTGAGGCAACAAATGATGTTTTGCCACACTAAACGAATCTAGATTTGTACAGATCGAGAGTACTAATTTAGCTCGTGGCCCTTTATTGTGACACAGCCTCTGGTGAGGTCATTTGCATAAGCTCCATTTAAAACGAATAGACCTTATTCACGATAGTCGCCATCTTTGCACGCGCTCTAGGATCGATGGGATAAAACATATGTCACGTGGTATTTCAGGGGGCAAAAGTAATAAGGTTTGCCAATACAAGTAATCGCGGTCGAGTATTTTTTAATTTCATCAAAACGAGACGACGATTTCATAGTCATGGAAATGTACATATTATCGAGTTTTGGCAAGATTTATGTCATTACTGTGTACCATGAGGACATCTACGGTCGCTACTGCATACGAAGACGTAACAATGCTCACCTCCGCCCATATTTAGACATTATTGTCTTTAGGATGAAAAGATCTTCATTTCCTTTTGTATAGAATAAGCAGACTCAATCGCGATTTCTTCCATGGGCCATTGTTTTGCACTTGTCTCCACCTGAGAAACCTCGTGACTTTGCTTTTTTTCTATCAGTCCTTAAGGGCGTGCAAAGATAGCGGGTATCGTGAAAAAGGCCTATTAAAACAGCCCTATTAGAGAACTGCTGTGGGTTTGTGGCTCCAAGAAAGATTCCAGTAACTACTTTTTGGCCTACAGTTACTACGTATGAAGACCCAATTGGCCATTTCGGAGTTGCGTAGGGAACTGGGGCTTGTTTCAAATTTAAACTAATCGATAAACTGACGCCACCATATAAAAGGTCATGTTGAGATTGGTCATTTGACCAAGTTTGGTGTTCTAAAGTTGAACAGGGATCAAGTGATGACTCTTGAAACATGGTTAAAGATATATACAAACGTCATAATTTTGTGACAGCTTCCCCCAAAACCATATAAACTCTTTAAAATTTTTCAGTTTGTCTTTTAAACTGTAAAATCCGTCATGCATCTACTACTTGGAGGAACTAATTCGAGAATCACTGTGTTTGGCCATTTTTAGGAATATCGCAGAAATCGTGAAAAAAAAATTAAGAGTTTATATGGTTTTGGGAGACGCTGTCACAAAATTACAGAGGTTTGTATGGATCTTTAACCATGTTTCAAGAGTCATAACTTGATCCCTGTTCAACTTTACAGCACCAAACGTGTCAAAAAAAAAAACAATCTCAACATGACCTTTTATATGGTGGTGTCAGTTTATCGATTAGTTTGAATTTGAAACTCGCCCCAGTTCCCTATGCAACTCTGAAAATGGCCAATAAGGTACCGTGTTTTGCGCAAAAGAAGTCGTCAAGATCATTATAAAAAGGCCTGGACCTTGTCTTTGCTACGTCAGTGACAGTAATTACAACGGTTTTACAACTTCTCATATCCGCTAAATTACTCAATTATGTGTATAAAGGGTGTTTAGAGTCTCTCAAAATGGTGAAGTTGACAGCTTCCAGCCAAATACACTCTCCATACCAGGCCCACAATGCAGTTAAGAATAGCTATGGTTGGCAATCTTCGATAAGGAACGACAAGCAATGGTTGCAAGTGGACCTCGGCAAGAAGACCGATGTGAAAGGTATCATTACCCAGGGACGATTAAACGCAAACTACTGGGTTAAGGCCTATACTATATCTTACAGCGACGATGGTACCAACTTTGAACCCTATAAGAATAACAAGGTATGAAATCAGTTGATGACGTTTCCACTCATCTACAATTTCCAAAACGTATCTAATAAATGCCCTACGATTTTCTGGAGTTTAGTTTTTCGTATTTCACTCACTACCCAGATTCAGTTATTTTTTGCAGAAAGAGGAAACCTAAAATTTTTCTGATTCGAAAATGCGATGGAAAGAGGAATCTGATAAATTCTCACTTTCGTAAAACTTAAAATTACGTCTAAAGTTTTTGGGAAAATAATGCTGAATTAAAAACGCCCACAAAATATCGAGAATTTCTCCCGACTTTAATTTATTTGTTAAAACAATCGATTTTCAGCTTGTTAGTCTCGCATGCTTTAGCGGCGAATCTCAGAAAATGAAAGGGATTCTTTTTTATTCGTCTGTGAGCTCCAAATCGTCGGCATGGTCCAAGGCGTTCCTAGCGGAGACCGTGGAAACTGGGGATAAGTATCTCGGCATGACGAAAGCCATGCAAGGAAGATTAATGCGAAAGGTGTAGAGCTTTATCGGAACGGGTCGGTCCACGAATTCTATCGCTTGAAAGCGTCGATCACTTTGGAACAAGTGAATACTTCAGTGGTTGAAAAAAAAGAAGAATCTTCGCCATCAGGCATTATTAGTTGCGATATTTTATTGTATCGTCTAGCGACCCGAGCGCATCTGGGCAAGCCGACTCTGTCTTTCCCAGACTCCTTTGCTCTGTGGACGTTGTTCTTGTGGTAATTTTTCTGCCATTATGAGGCAGTGTCTGTAAAAGCGGTCAGGTGCTTTCGGGGTCAAAAAATTGTTTGCCCTCAAACTTTGCCCAGAAAATCATCTTAGTTCATAAGTAAATGAAAGGACTTTCGTTTTGGGAAATATTTCAAAATACAGATTTTAGAGCGCTCAACTGTCAAACTGCCGAATGCCCTAAATTTGCGTCTGGCGAAACCCAAAAATTGGACAAATTACTAAGCTCGCTTCTCCAAATCCACAAAAAGCGAGAAAAAATGATTATAATTTCTAGGTAACAGTGTTTATTATCAGTATGAATGGCATGAGAATTTTGAATTTTGGATTTTGAATTTTCTGTGTCTACAGAAAAATAAATTTACTAGCACCTATGAGGGGCCGTTTTGAAAGCGCAGCAAAGTACCCTATCTTTGCTGGCAATTATTTCGGAAGACCAGACCTGCCTACTCTGATTTTCTATTTAAATCAACTAAGGAGATGCTAAGAAGTAGAGAAATATAAAAATACTTTGCGCTTTTGATCTTCCTTTAACGCAGAGATTTTGAACTTTGGTGTTTTTGAAGACACGAACGCCGTCAATTCTGCAAATTAGCTTGATCAAGAAATTGCATTAAAAAGTGTTGTACCCTTGAAATTTTTTGGTTCCTTTGTCGGCAATATTCCTAGACTAAGCATTTTAATCAAATAAGTTTCAGTTTAGAATAAGTTTCAGTTTAGAATTACGCTGTTACTATATGAGGCTTCAGAAAAATACATATGTTTGATGGTACCCGCTTCAGGCCGAATGCACTGGACCGCTTTTACAGACACTGCCTCTTAAAGTTGTTCGGATCGTGTTTTGTTGATCCAACTTCCCTTGTTGACTTGTGTGGTGGCAGCGGTTAAAACGAACTCCACACCTCATTAGTGAAGAAGTTTTCCTCGCTACAAACTTGTCAACAAACATCGAACGGAACCCAACAGTCAGCGATAGCGTTCACTGGATAAATGCAGACCGACCGAATGGCAGCCACTCCGAATGCACCGAAACTGATTATAGTGCCTTACCAAGAAGGAAACCGTAACTTTCTTTGAGAACTCGTGTAGACCCCTTCCTTAGACGCCACGTGGTTAAAGAAGGACAGAAACAGTCCGGTTCGCGGCTTCACCGATGATGGTTCTTCAGTACCCGAAGCAAGTCGCCGCACTGCTCAACAAAAAGTGAGCATGCTTGAGTTAATGCTTGGCCAAATAGCAAATTACTGTCCAGTTATCTCCAGAAACACCATCGTCAAGAACTCAGCATCTATGGGTTCCATTTGGTATGCCATACGCCTGCATTTCGGCTTGGAAGCCACCGGAGTGCATTTCTTTCATTTTTCAGAAATCCACCTCGAGCACGGCGAACGACCTGAGGATCTCTACCAAAGACTTATGGCCTTTACAGAGGATAACCTCCTTCGCAGCAACAGTGCAACAGTGTCCAACATCATGGAGCCCTCCTCTCTAAAGATGAATAATTAACCCCACTATTGTTCTCCCTTGGTTACGGCTTGTGTATTCTGACCTCCCAAAACTAGTGAAACAACGTTACGGAACTGAACTCCGCTCCCGCACACTTGCCTCCATCAAGCCTGAGACCTCGCAAACTCTCCAATCTTTTCTTGATGAAGTCCGTGCCACTGAAGATGCTAAGGTCATGGGCACTACTGCCTCCTCCTATCGCAGGCCCGCTCAAGTCGCCAAACCCACCACTCGCTTCCGGATACGCCCTAAATCCTGTCCCCTCTGCACCAATACCTAAGCGAGTACACTTATCTCCGTGACACCGACCGAAAGTTCATCGCAAAAGCTAGGCAGATCATGGGCATCCAGTTCCCCTACGTGGACACATTTTATTGTCACAACCCTGTCCTTATTACCATCGACAGTGGGGACACTGGTAACATGATTCGCTTGTCCACTGTTCAGGAGCTGAAAGTTGACATTTGTAAGAGTACCCAGTCCGCCCATCAGGCGGACGGATCATCCCCACTAAAGGTCATAGGTGAAACCAAGCTTTCCTTTACTCGCGGAAAACATGTGTTCCAGTTTGAAGGACTGGTCGTGCAAAACTTGGATGTAGAGGTTCATGCCGGTACCCTCTTTATGGAGGCCAATGATATCGCTGTTCTTTCTGCCAAGTGCCTGGCTACCCTCGCGGATGGCACCTCTTTCACTTACCTCTCTTCCGATGATCGTTCTACACAGCAAACTGCGCTTCGCGCTATGGTTCTCCATGTTTCCTCAACCTCAACCACTTTATGACCCGAGATTATATCGAACTAGAACTCCCACAAGGTCTCCCTTCAGACTCGCTCCATGCCTTGGAGCCCCGCTCCGACATAACTCAGGTCTAGCTAGTAACCACTTCAGAGCTCTGGCCCCCTCCTGGCATTATTTCTAGCGTAGCAGGAAGAATACGAATCTTAAACTTCTCAGGCGAGCCCATTCATCTTAGACGACACGAACACTTTTGTCAGGTTAGCCCCGTCTTCACCCATTGTACTACTGAGCATCCTCAACACACTGCGGACCGCTGTACGCAATCAATCAACCTGTCGCCAATCAATCAACCTGCTTGCAGCTTCGTCCAACGCACTGAGGATTCCGTGGTTCTCCAAGCATCTGTCCAAAGCATACTGTCAGGAACTGCTAAACTTCCCTTCACTAGCAAAGCTGCTTGGCTTGCTCTCCGGGCGGAGTGTCCGACCTACAGTGCACTCATGCCCATCTTACGCAAGGCACACGCCCTTCCAAGAAGTTGAAAAAACGCTACCTTAATGTCGCACAATCGCTTCAGATGGCTTACTCGTTGTTAAACCTAATGAGCCACTAGTGCTTACCCAAGAGTGTATTATCGTCCCTTGCCAGGTCCTCGACATTCTCTTGTCTGCGTTACACGTCCACCTCAGCCCATCCACCCTTCTAGCAACCAATTGAAGATCATCAGCCAACAATATCTTTTTGCCCTCGATATGGACAAAGCTGTTAATCGCGTCACTACTAATTGCCACCATTGTGCTTCACTTCGCACAGTTCCAACTACTGTGGTAAAACAGTCTACGAATCCACCACCTGAAACTGCGGGTATCTCCTTTGCTGCTGGCGTCATCAAACGAGCCAAACAGTTTATTCTTGTCTTACATGAATGCGTTACTTCCGGCACGGTATCAAGCCTCCTTCCTAACGAGCGCCACGACACACTACGAGACGCCCTTATCAGCCGTGTATCCACAAACTGACCCCGCCTCTTGTTTCATGTCCCTCGACAACGGCCCAGTCCTTCACGACCACAGAATTGTTCTCGAGATCGGCAGAGTCAAGAATCGAGACAAGACCCCTGTTGTCGAAAGAGCAGTCCAAGAACTTGAGCCACCTCCACCTTGAATTCACGAATTCGCTCTCGTGGATTGTCCGCCCGTGATCAATTCTCTAACATCCAGATCCCACTAAGCGACTATGATCTGATCTCTCAACAACACACCCTCCGTAAGGCCAACCATTCCAGCAGCGAGAAGTCCAAAGTGGCCAGTAGCCCCTCAGTCGTCATTGGTGACCTGGTGTATCTCTATTTTGACCGAAAGAAATCTCAATTGACAGATCGCTACGTCCATCGATGGTGCTTGGTGGTAGGTTAGAAAGTACCTATGGACGCCTCACCTTCCCTGCCACGTCACCCGAGCAGTGCGCCCTTCCACACCGATAACGAGAACGATACCCCCTTGCCTCCAGCCCCACCACGACCGATACCTACAGCTCCTCCCACACCCACATCTTTACTGTACCAGCCCACAGAAGATGCGTTAGGTCCACCTAGCCCACCACCAGTTCCTGCTACTCTTTCCACACCTCCTTCCCCTCCGGATACTGGCCTGGACGTCGTTCCCACGCGACCAACACGCACCCGCTGCATTCCACAATACCTTTAGGACTTAAACTACCACTCAAAATAGACGAAGCAAAGAGACGAGAAAAGAGGCAGTTGCGCCATTAAGCATTATTATCATTACAAGACCTTCGGCCTCATGGGCTATTGACTCAGAGCCCATTCGGGCTCGAGGAATCACTGTTAAATATACTATGATGGCTAAGCCAGTCAGAGCTCGAGAATTGCATTATCCAATGATTCAGTTTTTATTAACACGTATTATACTAATATCCCCACATGTAAGGGAATCCGGATTCCGGAATCCGGGAAATTGTTGCTCGCGGAATCCGGAATTCAAGTAACGATTGGAATTAAGAATCCAAGGTCAAGACTGGAATCCACTACCTGGAATCCGGAATCCATGGCGTGGAATCCGGAATCCAAGAATGTCTTGGATTCCCTTACATGGCGCGACTTATAGGCACTTCATTTACTTCTGCAGGTGTTCGAGGGAAACAAAAACCACAACGGCAAGCATGTGAACTACTTCAGTCCCATCATAAGTGCACGCTTCATCCGTATAAATCCTAAAACTTGGTACAGTTATATTACAATGAGGATAGAACTCTTGGGATGTTCGCCAAGTAAAGTTTATTTTTCATTACTTATATCAACCGGTCCTAAAAAAGGTTTAATAGACAGCGTGTACTACTGAGTGTTTGATTTATCGATGCGCGAGGGAAGGTTGCTAAGCACGGAAGAGGATCACGGGCGCCTTATTCGACTCTCTTTAGCTTCTTCATGAGTTTATGCAAGCCTCCCAAGCGCGTTAATTACTCAGTAATACATTTACATGCTGAGATATTATTTACTATTTTTTGTATAGGCGAATCTTTGCTCACATTTTTTGCCTCATTGGCATATGCGTTTCATTCTCTGGTTAAGCTATGAAAATAGACGAAAATTTCAGTTATCTGTGAAAATTTGAGCCCGGTACACCCAATAGTTTCGAAGATATTATCTATGAAAAACTCGAGACTTTACAAAGAATGTATGAGCTCATTAATTTTTTTTTTGCCACCCAGTAATTTCGCAGCCGTTTTCGACGGCTGCTATTTCCCTTTGTTATTGCTTGCAAAGAGCTGAAAGTTGCACATATTGCTCAAATTAATCAACTCTTTCAACTTCTATATTCAATATCTGCATACGGTGCCCGGGAATGGGGTCAGGGGGGTACTTAACAGAATTTTGTACGGGGAGGCTCCTCCCCGGGTGCAACCCCTTACTTTTTTATATACCATTTACCCCTTTCGTGTACCTTCTATTGACAAATGGTACCCCTTTCACAAAAATAAAATGTTTTCTCGACTTTATAAATAATGGTAATTGAACTGAGTGAAGTGCAATTTGGTCTGAAATCATACACGTGAGTTTAAAATCGGACGAGCGTGCAGCGCGAGTTCCATTCGAATCACAAGTATGATTTCAGACCAAAATTGCACGACACGAAGTTTAAATACCACTTTATTACAGCCATTTTGAAATCGCATAATTCCGTCAGTACCAAATTATGTCGTTGTAGGATTCGCCTTTTTGAAAAGTGGAAGCAAGGAGGCTTTTACACTCATTTTGTGATCGAAACAAAAATGGTGCGATTTAGAACATGAATGACTTGATTTGGAACAGATGTGATTTAGAGCAAAAAATTGTGTGATTCGTGAATAAATAACACTGCTGAGAGCCAATCAGATTGCAGGGAACACCAGTAATTTCAAATAATGTAATAAAGCCATAAAATTCATCTGTTAGCTCTTTTGGGCCCTTTCACAGGCCCAAATAACAGATTTCCCCACCCTTTCGCTTACTTCAACATGTAAAGTCCCTACCCTTTCATATACCTGAGGCCTGAAAAAGGTTCCCCTTTCGGGCGGAAACCCCTCCCCCACGTATAGGCCATAATAGGGACTACCCCCGCCGGATACGGTGACGTCGTCTATCAGTTAACTCTTATGCAAATGAGGAAATATGTCAGCAATGACGTCAGCAAAGATTCGCCTATACCAGTGATCAAAGAGAAAAGCTTTACCTTATAGATGGAGGGGAAATAATAATATTTAACAAATGGACCATAATTTTCCATGATCTACACTCTTACAGACCATAGAGATGACGTCATAAAATGTTAATTTCTATGGTCTATAAGAGTGTAGACCATGGAAAATTGTGGTTGATTTTTTTTTTTACAATAACGTTGATTTTTAGTTTCCTGCGTAGTTTCTCGGAAAATCACGCGCGCGCCATTGTTGTTCGTATTTTTGCTCTACCTTTGCAGCTTTAGTCACCAACTCACTGTCAGAAATGTCTCCCCATATGTTAAAATTTGGTTCTTCTTTGTCCATGTTGAGAAGTAAAATTATTTTTACGAAAACCCAAAGACAAAGCAATTGGCACTGCGTGATTTAATTAGAAGTTTAATTTTTGGCTATTTCTTTTTCACTTTCTGCATTTAGTTCATTTCACTTGCCGGAAAGTAAGCTCGCGCATTCTAGCCTTATTTTAAACTTTATAGCGGAAGGACATCTGTGAGCAGGGAATAAGTAAGCACAGAATTTGATAAACTAGCCGTTGAATCATTCAATCGTCTTGTTTGTTTTGAGCCGAGTCTTATTCCGGTCAAAGAGAGAGAAAGAGTGTCTGGTAAGGTTCGGCTGAAGGTTTCCTATCAAAGATTTGTGAACTCGTGTTTGGCAAACTCACTTGGTGTTAAAATGTACACTGTTCTACGCACCTTATAACTTTATCTGCGCTTAACGAGTGTCTTCTGGTCTATAACTTTCATAACAAATGCTCCACAGAATGTCACTGACAACACGTAACACAAAAGAGTATCGAAGGATGAATGCACAATTAATGTCACTGAAGTACTCTGAAGTTATTTTCCCTTACTTTTCTATAGTCGATAAAACTCCATTTCAAGTTTACTGCGACATGGACGCCGGAGGTAAGCGATACACTCTATACACCTGATCGTTTTAACATGACGTCACGTCCGCCTTGCTGGCGGCGGCCATTTTGGAGTCCTAAAACCAATCCAGTGTGAATTGAACCCTTTCCCACTGCTTTTGTTGGAACGTCCTTTAATTTTGTTCCAATAAATATACATGGCTGCTGGCCACGCTAGTGTTGTACCAAAGCAATAACGCGGCAGCCACGTTAGTAGACTGTTCACAGTCCCCTGTGTTTTCGTATATGATCGTCGGGATATAGCGCTTACCGGTACGGGCGGCAGTTTCATATGTGGCAAGAGGGTGGGTGTCGGGGCTTAAAGCGCTGGTTATTTTTTCTCGCTTTCTCCCAAACTGCCCGCCAACCCCTAAGTAGATTTGACACCTCATCCAAGATGGCGACGATCTTACGCAAAAGTAGGGGACTTCGAACAGTCTGCCATGTTGGTGTACCAAAAATAATCCTTTTTCATATGTAAAAACGTTTTATATATTTGCTTATTTCATAGTCACAGTAATTTTCATCCTTGTGAGATTTCTGAGATACAATAATGACTAAAATGTGTCCTTAACTGACACCCGTTTATGTAACTTGCCGATCAGGAGCTTGTGGAGTGGAAGTTTTCATGAGCTTAAAATCTTCCAGTGAATGAGGGTCGTGTCCTCCTATAAGTAGGTTGCCATTCATTATTCGAATTGTTCGGGTGCAGGTTTCCAGGATAACAAGCCGACGTCTACTGCAAAAAAAAATACTTATAAAAAAATAATTTATTGTTATCGATCGTTTTCAATATCATTAGCATACTCGTTATCACCGTCATTATTAAAGTTAATCGTTATCTCGTCTTTCGCATTTCTTTATCAAGGTTGGACAATGGTGTATAAGGTTGTGTCAGGTTTGGATCAAAATGCCTATTACGGCTACAAATCTGAACAGACGATATCCGAGAAAGAAAAGAGTGCTCTTAATGTCACCAATGAGCACCAGAACCTCTATAAGAACAGGATCGTTTTGAACTGGAAAGCCTTTGACGCATCTGAGGTGATTTAATTGTAACGAGTAACACTCAAACCTCTCTGATAAAAGGACATAGGGTTTATTAATTTTCTAAAATGAAATCTCTCCCTACAAATTACCCACTCAAAACCAAGGGTAGAGCTCTTAGGCCTCTTCCACACGTACCCGGATATTTTTTGAATTCACAAGTTTTTCTTTCCGGATTCAAAACTTTCTACGTCCACAAGTATCTGCATCCAAATCGAAAATGCCCTTCCACACGTATCCGACACATAGGCCGGATTCACTCTATTGGCAACAGAGCATGCGTCGTAAAGTCGGGCAAGAGAGAGAACCTGGGAACGAAGTTGGCATCTTGAATACAGTATTCAGGGTAAAGAACTGGACTTGATTTTATTACGTCACCGGATACAAATTTTCCGGATTTAGTATTCACGCCTTTCCGAATTCATAGCGTGTTCAACAATTTCCACTCTGGGAGCGGATTCAAAAAGTCGCGGTTTCGTTTTTCAGATTCACCGGATACATGTGGTTGGAAGCCGAATCCGCAAAGGAAGAGTTGCGGATTAAAAAATATTCGGATACGTCTGGAAGGGGCCTCACGGTGTTCGATTTTAACCATCAACCGTCAAATTTGGAAAAATAGTGAGCTTACGCAACAGGACGGGAGAGGAAAGACGGCGGAAAACCTTGTGTGACATGCGTGACAATAATTTTCGTTGAAGAAACCTTCCGCCAAACTTCACGTTCCTTTAAACAGATCTTTTTGTAGAAGAGCTAAAAACAACAATGTTAAGTGAATTCCCGACAAAACACGCAAGTAATATCCCCGTCACGTTTGTCACACTCAAGCGTTTTGCCGTCCTCTTCTTTCTACCGTCCTGTTGCGTAAACTCACTAATGTAACGGCCACCGTCAAAGCTACCACCCCATTGAGAGCCGTTTGTGTCCCTCAGGGTAGGACGAACGTCGTGATCGAAAAGCATGATTTAATGTTTTTGCCCCGCGCCTAACTTAAAATTGCATTTAAAGGACATTTCGCCACATCACAAAGAAATGTTTTATCGCTTCGCCACCTCCCCTAACAAAGCAAGCTCAGGCGGGAAGAAAACAACACAATCAGAAACATGATTGGTTACAATATGAGGGCACATTCTGCAAGAACGTCCTACCTAATTCTGTTCTTCAGTATAATATCATTGGTGCTGTGGCGAATTACTCCTTAATTTTTGCGCGAAGTTTCAGCACTAATTTATAATTTCACATGTGAAATTGCAAAAATGCCATGGCAACCTTACTTTCGTCTTAGTGCCAAGATGGCGACGAAATTTAAATATGCTATGTGAAAGAATGAAGATTTCAGGGAATTAAAAGACGCTTTAGAAAAACCAAACACACGAAATAGCAGATCAAGAAGGATTCTAACAAGTATTTTGTCAATAAATTCTGAAAATTGTGAACTTAAGCCAACGTGGAGTTCTCGATCGACATGATAAAACTAGGATAAACTTGTCAAACTCCACGATTGCGAACTTAATTCATCACCCGTAATGTTAATAGGTAATCAACTGGTATGCTTGTATAATTTGGGAATAATTACACTTGCACAGTTTGTCAGAATGTTAGTAATTTCCTTCGCCTGGACAAGACGCGCGTGAAATTATTTCCTTACTTCACAAATAAATAAATTGGAAAGAAGTAATTTAATTAATGGGCATTCGCTTAACCGTGAACCTGTCCCTTTAAGGGATGCACTTGGATCATTCCTAGGTTTGCTAAGCAGCGAAGAAGCAGTTACTAAAACAAAAATGCCTTCAATCGTCTGATACCATATTTTGCCAAAAAAATCGTTCTCTCTAATTGGACAGCTGAAATACCCCAGCATGGGTCTAAACAGATTAGTGCAAGTAAGATGCTTCGTGGCTATGTGCTTGTTGTTAGCTTATCTTTGAAATTCACTAAATAATATGTGTCATTGTGTCGTCGGGAAACAGTTAATTTTGTTCTCAGAGAATCTCGCGCTCTCGCGTGCTTTCGACGGGATTTTCCCGCTGTTTCTCCTCCCGTCTCGAATGCCTGTAATGAGGGCTGCGAAATGTCCTGGCGAGAAACAGGGGGATATAATAAAACATCTGTTATATTTTTAGGCTCGAGTTGGTCTTTATAAAAAGGGAAAGTTGTTAAAGGAACTGATATTCGACGCCCAAGGATCAGACAACAAAAACTGGTTTAGCGCCTCTAAGCTGACTCACAGCCCCTATTCTGACACCTCAAAGAAGTCAAGTGATTACAATTTCTTCTCAATCGAGGGAGATAAGCAGCTCAACCGTTACTTCATAATCAACCGAAGTTATGGACAATGTGGAAAAGACGTCGGCTGGATGGTTATTGGCGGGCACTCTTGTGAATGGGAGAAACGAGATGGCAAGCACCCTATACTGTACAGTACCCAGGAAACATCCACCAATTGGAACAATAAAGGTAAGTAATTACTCAACTATCATTACATTTTTCTTGAAGTAATGTGAGAATTTGGGGGGAAAATTATTTAAGTTACGCCAACAGCGCAAAGAGCCTTTCAAACGTTAATTACATAAGTTACTGCTCAAGGTTTTTTTTTGGAGACTGAGGAGGTGTATGGTGAGATGAGTGCCGTTCCCATTTCTTACCTGAACTCCGTAGCCGGTTGAAATGTTCTCTTTCTCTAGATCCATTAAGTTTTGTTTTTCTGTTGTATTTGTTATAGTATACCATTTACTGCTATTAGTTTTACTTCGCTACCTCGGTTTGCTTCCCCTTAATCCATTTTTCCCCCGACTTTTGTGCTTTGTAATTATGACTAGGAGGCTATTGTTATATTCTTACCTATCAAGAATAGCCCCGCTCAGATTGTGCTTAACATAATTGTTAATAATTTTCAAATTGAATAAACTGTTGTTGTTGTTGTTGTTGCTGTTAAGTATAAAGGAACTCAAGCAAGGGTTATAAACATATAACATTCTTGACGGTTCGTAAGCAAGGCAAGAGCAAGATGCACTTTAAAACGTATGATAAAGAATTTCACAGACAGAAAGATAAGGTTTTGGGAGGTTAGCTTATACGTTTTGTTGTCCCAGTTGAAATCACGTAATAGGTGGTTTTCACGTTACGTCATCACCGTCATGCTGGTGGACGGTAAACAAAAGATCGCTCATTAGCTCGTTTTGTTTGTCCACCAGCATTTGTTCATTTCACCATTGTTATTTTTGTCTCCCGAGAGTGCATGAAAACCACATAATTTGCCTTTTGTCTTCAGACAATTTCTGTACAGATATGCACGTGCATAGGACGACAATTTAGGGCCTGTTTACAAGGAGTGGGGGGACCCCGGTCTAGTGGGGTTGGTTTCTTTTGTTTTCACGCTCTGGGGACACAAAACAAAAAAACCTACCCCACTAGACCGGGGTCCCCCACTCCATGTAAACAGGGTCTTAAAGAAACAATTCTATAGGGTAGTATCACGTGGTCTGCAATGGGAAAACAAATGATGTACAGGCTAAAAAAATCTAGTGTATAAATGCAATTTCTTTCTGTTTTCTTTTAGACACTGTGGGAAAGGCGGAAGTCTTGGCAGTGTTCGTGCGTTGAGATGAGAAGCAGAGATGGCATGAATGAATTTTGCCCTTTAGAACCCTTGGAACTAATGTAGTAGTTTAAATATATATGTAGTTGTAAAAGTATGGCAAAGCTCTGTTCCGGAGCTCCTGCTCTGAAACGGTAGCTTTCGATTAAAAATAAGCGGCATAATAGATATAATAAAGCATTTGAAAAGCATCATTTGTCTTAACAGCTCATCTTTTTATGACCTTTATTGTAAAGCAGGCTAATCCCAGAAATCACATCACCGGTGGAAATCCGCAATTTCTGGTTGGAAAGTCAAATGGTTTCGCTATTCCATTTGGAGATCTTCAAAATCATGGGCTGTGATTTGAGGCGATGCAATATTTTCAATATTTGCACATCTGCAAATGGTTAGACTTTCTAGTCTTCTCGGATAAGGACGATAAACCGTAGGCCCCGTCTCACAAGCCCTTGCACATGTAATAAATCTGTGGGACGTTAAAGAACCCACACACTCTTCGTAAAGAGTAGGGCACGTAGTTCCCGGTGTAGTGGTCTATCTCACTTTCACACTCATGTATGGGGTCATCATCACTCATTCCTTCAGTACTTGTAAACTGCACCTTAAGCAGTCTGGCAAAGTCCCCCAACCAGTGTTGTAAATTATCCCTGAAAAGCCCTGTGGGGAGTGGATAATAAGATATTTACAATTTATTTACAATTTACACTCTTTTAGTCTGTTCAACTGATTTGGATATACATTTTAGCGGGTCGTTCTCCCACGACGTCAAATTTAAAACTTTTATGTTCATACAGAAGATTTCCAGTCGGGTGGTTTGTGTAAATATAGCACCCCTGGTTTCCGAAAGGGCCTTGCGTGAAGGGTGTTCTCCTGAGACAAAATGGGTGAGAAACATACTAAGCTACTGAAAAGAAGAGTTTCTGGCTGGAATTATTTTGAAAAATATCCGCTAACAAACCTTACGGAGGAATACTACCTACTCACCTTCGCCCACACTACACATTGTAAAGATCAGCCGTCGGTTTAGCTTGGTAAGTGTTCGTCTGGGTAAAGACCTGTTTATGAGAAAAAAAGTGTTCCGGGACCCTATCATCCGAGTCAACTTAGCTTGAACAGATCATGAGCATGCTCGGATTGTATAAAACAACGTTCGCACATGCTCTGATTCTCTCGCCTTCTCGTCTTGCCCGAGTTGTCCCGGCTGGGCGAGCCATAGTATTGATAGGAGAAAAGGAAAGAAGTTGGACCGGCTAGTCGGGTGACGCCATCGAAAAAGAGTGAACCATCTTTTTGTCTCTCACGTAAACGGTACGCCACATTTTGTAAGGAAATGAATGAAACGTTGCCTCGCTCAGGGTAGCTCGAGTCGGTGAACCACCCTCCTACCCAAGACATGTATCCCACCTTCCAACTAGGTCACTGTGTTAAAACCGGTGTCCGAGTAAATTAAAATTAACACCCCGGCCCAGGCTGGAAAAAAATTTTACAATTCCCGCTGCTTGTAGTGGAAAAGAATACAGTATGTTAAGGTTATCGGCCTTCAGCTCGGGGTTATGTAATTTATTCCCTGCGTTGCCCGAGGGCGCAAGAGCTTTTCAGGACAATTGATTTGATGGTTGATTCAGGGGTTATGTAATACATTCTCCCCCGAAAAGAACAATGGAATCCGAGCTCATGTAACGTGAAGTCTTAATTAAACTGTCTCGTTATTGTTTAATTTGACAGATTTCCTTTTATCAGATGAGCCTGAGAAAGGGCTTTCGGTTCTAAAAGTGAATTCATAAGTTGTCTTAAATTATAATTTACTGCAATTTGAATGGGCAACCTCCACTTCCTCAGCACGCTGCAGCAAGGTGTGGATCTGTCATACGAATCGACTACTATCACTCGGGGTCTCTTGCTAACATGACAAGCAACAAAATTTCCAAGTCCCCTTAATGAGATGCATTTTTCCGCTCAGGGATTTCTAGGAGGGGGGGGGGGGTCCAAATTGGTTCCAACGAAACCAGCTGGTCTAAAATCCTTGCATTACGTACGTACAAACAAACTTTACAAACTTCATATAATAGTAGATTCCTTCATGGTTCATATGCGTACATGATCTCGTACATCTGGAACCAGTTGCCATCTGCTGTAAAAAACGCACCTAATGCATCATTCTTTCGGAGACTTTTAACTAAGTTAAATTTTATCGGCTGCCGATGCAGCAGTTGCCTTTGACCCGATTTATTTTTATAGATAGACGTTATTTTTTAAATTTAATTAGCCGCTATTGAGATATTAATTATTTAATTTTTCTTTTATATTGTCAAACACTTTTATCATGAGCCCGTCGCTCGGGGGATTGGGAGACCACCCCCTGTGTATCTGGCATTAAATAAATTATCTATCTATCTATCTACAAGACTTTGGCGTTTACGCTACGCAAACAGAAGACGCCTTGGTTGCCATTGAGCGAACGTGTTTATCACTTCCTCGATATTTATGTCTCGGTGGTAATTGATGTTCATCAACGCCAGCCCAGACTCTCGCTCGCTTGACATGGTCGACCTCAGGTATGTTTTTAACCTTCTTAGTGTACTGAATGAGCGCTCACATTCAGCTGACGTTATCGGCAACGTGTAAAAAATGCGGATCAAGGTGTGGATGTTAGGAAAGAACTCTCGATCGCAAGCCATTACACGGGGTCATGTCCCCATACATAGCTTTGGGGACGAGATCCTATTGTAACAGCAGTCAGTTTAAGATTCTGGGAAACTGTCAACCTTCCTACCTCTCTCCAAACCCAAAATTTTGTCCCAAAGCAAGAAATCAGAGACCATTGTTTTTAGATATATCAAAATTCATACTTGTCTCCGAGGCTTGAGGCAATAAAACAAAAAAGAATATTTATTATTATAGAGGCACTTTATGATTTCTTTTGTTTTATTTCCTCAAACCCCACAGCCAAGTACGAATTTTCATATATCAGAATATTGGTCTATTAGTGTTGGTTTGGTGAGTGGATAGTTCCATTATCGTATACTGATCCCAAATATCAAATCTCAAATCTTTATTTTAACACGGTAAAAAATTCATCAGGTTTTTTGTTACATATGAAGTATAAACTACATAACAATATTTAATAATAATAAATACATATCTAAAGAGTCTCTTAAAAATACTACTGAAAATTACACTAAACTATACCTGTTTTCCATGAATGCCGTGTATCTAACTTACTTAACTAAAATGAAGGTTTAACAATTGCTTAAAACGATTTAGAGATTTCTCTTGCCTAAGATTGCAGGGCAGACTGTTCCAGAGAGTTGCACCTCTATAGCTAAAGCTCCTTTTTAGGTAGTTGGTTCTTGGTAAAGGAACATTTAATTTGTTCGTAGAGTCTCTTAAGACATAGCCTGACGTACTGCGCTCAGTAAACATAGAGGATAAATAGTCAGGAGCCAGATCATTAAGAGCTTTGAACACCATTAAAGCTACTTGAATTTGACGCTGGGTGATCAGGTCTTTCCAACCAAGTTGTTGTAACAAGTAGCGAGCGTCAGCATCATAGGAGGAGGAAGTCAAAATGCGAGCAGCACGATTCTGCAGTTTTTGTAATCTTTCAGAGAGCGTTTTGCC